GCATTTAAACAAAGTGATATTAGGTAAGACTGAAAAAGAAATAGCAGATGAAGAGATGTCAAAGGGGCTGTCTGTATCATTATATCGTGCCCAGTCCTTGAACATATCCTTAGGTAAAGTTGTATATAATACATAGATCTTCTATTACATAATCTAAATTTTAACATCTTCCCTTAGTTTGTTGTATAACCTTTGTAAGAGTGTTTGATCTGATTCTATACAAATTTGACTAGAACACTTAAATTATACAATACTTATTTGTGAGCAAGTGGGAGAAAGGATTTCTGGACATCTTAAAATTGTCTCTTGGCATAGATAGAGAGCAATAATATAAGTGAAATTGCATTTAGGAATAGAAATACGGTGTAGTTATTTATCACGCTTCTTCAAAAATATATTTTGCTTACCATGATTAATATAGATGGCTATATCTAATAAGCAAATTGTTATTCTATTTTGGTAATTGTAGTTATCTTCAACAACGTCCAGCAAAGGACAAGTCATTTTCGTATGAGGTATGTTTATAATCATGTCACAACCACATCATTTATATCAATCTATGCATTACATATTATCTAATGATCATAAACCATCCAACACTAACAACAATTCCACTTTTATTTCAATAGAGCAACAGCAACCGTCGAACTACAAGATTCCACAGGCTCGATAATAGCATCAATCATTGGAAATCCAGCTAAAACATTCTTGAAATGCCCAGCAAAAGAACTGATGAAACAAACTGCTCAGGTATGAATCCAAAAATTAAATTTCTCTACATACTTCCTTACTTTCTCCCTTGAATGTATTGTTAACTGCTTTTCATAAACATTTCAACAGGAACCCATGGAGAACAACTCTAGAATTCAGACAGCTACTACTCAAGCGCATATCTTATACATAAAAAGTGTAAATGTAGAAGCAACGACCAACAAAGCTTCATATGAAGTCATCTTTATCCTCGACTCTCAACTTCAACATCAATTGGCTACCAACATGATACAAAAAAACACATCACAGACATCTCAACCTCCAAATGCAAACACTACACCAAGCAGCTCAACAATGGAGACACCCTTAACACAAGAAGCTGACAAACATCCAACCAAAAAACAAAAGCAAGAGTAATAGTCCACAAGTTGAAAATATGTATTTTGAATCTCTTTTGCATCCTTATAGCTAGAGTCTACTGCCTAAATCTCTAGCACTATTTGTCATACCAAATTTTGTTGATTGTACATATAGACTTGTTAAAACCTATGTATCCAGTATGACATATAAGCTCTTTTGTGTTCTGCTTTATATTACTATCACAAATGTAAGTATCCATAAAACAATATAAGCATCCTTCCTGCAAACAGATTCCATTATTCATTGAAAGACCATATACCTAAATGTAAACATTATCACTTACACTGCACTACCACTACACGTGCAACGCACGTGCACACACTAATAATATGACAAATGGTAAATAATATGGACTTATCTTAAAATACAAGAATCTTGAAAGTGATTTAATTTTCAACACAAGTAATGGAGGCCCTAAAGAAGAACGAAATTGGGAACTGATCATGTCCCCAAGAGGGAAACGATTGGCTGTAGATGAGTATACATTCTGAAACACAAAGTTGATGGCTCTTTCGAGAGGGCTCATATTGTGGTGAAAGGTTTGAAATAAACCTATGACAACAGATTATCTCGAGATGTTTGCATTACCAATATCTCATTTTACCATTATTCAAATTAAAATAATCGACTTAAGGTATGAGCTTGTTTGGAAGAGATTTTTGAGAGAAGAATTGATTTTGAATAGTGATATGATGGAAAATGTGTGGTTGAAAAAAAAGAAAAAATTATTGATGTGATGAAAAATATTATTTTATTGAAAAATATGTAGCTGAAAATGAGAATTGATTTACTGTAAAAAAAATTTAATCCCTCCCAAACAGGGTCTATGGGTTCCAAGAAGCAACCATCCTTTGAATAAAGCAACACGAATCACAAATGACGAGAACTTGTATTCACAAACTTGAAAGTTATCTTTTGATTCTGATTATGAATCTTACTTGAGAGTAATAGATATTTTCAACCTTAATTTGAAGAATAAAAAAAAGGGAAAACGAAGGATTCCTTTTTTTCGTGTAAATGAAATGCAGTTAAAATCTCATTTTCCCATTTCCCCTTGTTCGCGTAAATTACGTGTACAATTCCACGGCCACTTCCTTTCTACTTCTTCCCCGACACGCTGTATAAAAAATCACCATATACACGCAAAAAAAAAAAAGTCTTTCTTTTTTCAGTTTCCAACATTTTTTCTGGATAAGAAAGGGAGAAAATCATTCTCAGAATATTATGAGTCCGATCGTGTTGACTCAACTGGCAACGGGTCTCAGCGTTTTAGCTGGGGCGGTTCTGGTGAAGTCAGTAATGGACCAGAACCCGATGATGGGTCCGGGACAGATGCCCAGATGCCACAGTTGCAACGGAACGGGTCGGGTCTCGTGCATGTGTACTCGCTGGTCGGACGGTGACGTTGGTTGTCGGACTTGTGCCGGGTCTGGTCGTATGGCTTGCAACAGCTGCGGTGGTACGGGAACCGGCCGGCCAATTCCAGTGCAGCTCTCTGTTCGACCTTCGAACCGGCATTCCTCAGAGTAATACAACCCTGTGTACTCTCTTTTGTAGTTTTTAGATTAATTTATGTAGTTTTTGCTTATAAAATTGTAATTATTTCATATAAGTTGATTATATGCCTGAAGAGAAAAATGAGATAAATGGCCTATTAGGCTGTATTAAATCTTCTTGATTAAATTTCTTGGTACTTGCTAGAATTTCAAGGAATTTATTTTAATTTGTTGTATATGAGAGGATATTAAAAGTAATGTCAAAATGAATATTTTATTCTAGTCGAACTTGAATTTGACACGAGATAACTTTCAAAAATCACATGTAATAAACGCGATTGCACGTTTTTTATTAAGTTTGGGAGATATTGAATGATGGGATCATAAAGATGAAGTAAATGCATAGGTAGAATATGTATACAACAATTATCTGAAGTGTAGAGGTCTTGTATTCGAATCATGGGGATGCAAATGGCTTGGACATGAGACTTGATCGTTACCGTTTCTATGTTTAACAAAGATATGTTTAATAATTGTACAAAGTGACACATCATGGTCCAACCTAAACGAGTAGCTCCTTCATCATCTTTGTTTAATCCAATTGATTTTGAATTGGACAGGTTGATCTTGAATCAGATTAGGCTCATCACAATCAATTTCAGAATGTTCGTTTAGTTTCAATTTCAAGAAGCCGATTGACAGATGTAGGAACTCGTCAAATACATGAATAACATACCATATAATACTGCATAAGCTCCAATTTGAACTTGCACTCAAGCCTGTGGATGTTAGTAAAGTTAGTACAAACATTCCGCTTCAGACATGCATTTTGGTGCATGTATGTTACTAGTGGACAATACAATGGGTGCATTTTAGCTCTCTTTCTTAACACTGTTTAACGTTGTCTAGTTTACCTTACCAAATGTCACAAGGTTCACATTTTCTGTTAGTTATATTTGTGTAATTGCAGTTTCCTTACCTAAGACGTGCCATTAGCATATTTGGATCCTATTAAAGATTCACATTGAATGTTCATTTTGATTTAAGGTCAGAAGACAGTTACATCAAGATTTTCAATATGCCAATATATTGACGCCACATTTTTAATATATCGGAATTTTAAGGTACCCGTTTCGTTAAATATTGAAGTATTTTGCCCCTTGTACAGGGAAAACTGCCAGAGGCCCAACTGTAAATGAGAATCTGCCAAGTGTGTATCTGTAAAAACCCTGACAAAAATCTCATGTACATCAAGTAATGTTCTAATTTATTTCAACATATGCGCTTTCTATATCGAACATTACTATAAATTTCATTCTACTTCACATACCATTATCCAACCATTCACTTTTTAATCTTATTTTATCTTTACATTTACTATATATGAATGAAACTTCTTGAGCTTTTCCTTTCACCTTTTGTCTAATGGAGAATGCAACTAGAACATTAAATTGTATCATATTTAACCATAAAACATTACAAACTTCATAAAATAATTTAACTAAAACTTGAAATTTTATTTTAAAAATAATTAAATTCTACATAAAACCTTCAAACTTGATAAATGTTTCTTGATAATATTATAAATGAAGATTTATCCAAATGTTGAAAGCAAAACAATTGGTAAACATTTTGCATTGAGATTTTACATTTATTTATTTACTTTTTTCTTGGTTAAGCATAAAAGTAATTTTTTTTCTCAAATGAAATTGTAATTTTCTAGTAACTTGATTTTATTTCCTTATGCAGTTGAAAAACATGGAATAAACATATAAAAAGGAGTCCTCGTCTGTTACTACAGTTTTAACTCTCACGACATTCTTCATTTTATTATGAAGTCGGGACAACGAGGGACAAGGAACATGTTGTCGACCCAATCGGGGCTGGGAACCCCTGGCCCAAATCTCCTGAATGGTCCTGCATTTTTTATTTAATTTTTATTTAAAAATAAAATTAATTATATATATGAAGTTTTTTAATCTCATCTAACTGCACTTTCTAAGCCCTTGTTTGAACTCCATTATTTTAAAAAAATTGATTTTGGAATAATGCTTTTTGAAAAATATGTAGTTAAAAAGTGATGCTACCAAAATTTTTATCTGGATTGACTTGAACATGATTTTGAACATAATTGTTGAACTCCGTACGCTATGATCCTCAATACCTGAAATAAAGGCGTCGATGTTCGTCCTCGCCGCCTCTCCGATACTTAAGTCAGAGAGAGAAATCACAAAATATATGCTGAAATGTTATTGAAAACGTACCTGAATAACGAGGACGGGATGCATATTTAAAGAGGCTGGTGGTTAAGTCCTAGACGGACTAGTAGGTGTTTGTATTGTGATAGGATCACCTTGACTGAGTTAAGGTGAAACTTAAGGCAATTGGAGAGTTAATGTTTGAATTGAATTAGTAATCTAGGGGCACGTGCGTTGAGGGGAGGACATGTGAGTTTAGAGGTCGAGGGGCCTTCCATTGATGGGGCCCGACCTTATAGGCCCCACCTTGTAAATGTCCTAAATATTGAGATGTTGTCGGGTCATTTGGGTCGATCAGGACGACCCTCGACCTCGACCACAACCCCGACCTCATAAGTGGGCCAGAACCCATTTTAGGTGGGTCAAGGTCGAGTTTGGGTTTGGTACCATCAAAAAGTAATGAGAATTTTTGGATTTATGTTTAATATTTTTTTATTGGGAGAATGTGTGATTGATAAAAGGATGGAGAAATAAATTAAAATTTAATGGGGGGCCAAACATGGGCTAAGTATTCTCATGATGAAGATGGAAATGATTATTTGAGCCTCAACCCCACCAAGTTGCCATACTTTGAACTCGATAGCCCCCATTTGGCCTTTATTATTTGGTATTATAATTTTTGAAATAGCCTTTTTAGAGAATGGGTAGTTGAAAAAGAAGAAAAAACTTTTGATTTGCGTATAATATTATTTTATTGGAGAATATGTGACTGAAAAGAAGTAAGAGAAAAAAATGTATTATAAAGGGAAAATTGAAGCGAAGGTCTCAAACCTTTCATTTACTGCAGATTATACCCTAACATTTCATTTTCACGGCCGCAGTCCCAAACCTTTATATTTAACTGCAGCCATGGTCCAAATCATTGATTCCGTCCATGATGCCGTTAGTCAACAGTGAAATTACGATTTTGACTTAAATGGATAGATTAAATAAGGGACAAAATGGTATATGTACAATTTTCATAATAAAATAATTAGAATAATTAAATAAAAAAAATTGGTTTATACTTGTCATGCATTTTCCACAACGTGAATTTATGCCGCAAGTGTACGGTGTCAAGTTTTGTAATATAATGATTGAGTTAAGAGTGTCGAACCCACAAAGATTGTAATTCAATTTCTACCAAGTACTTTAATGTATAACTTCTATTTTATCTAGACAAATGTTGAATGGTTGAATGATTGTTTTAAACTAATCAAAAGTAATATGCAACGACAAAATTGGAGAATATAAAAATTATCAAAACGAGAAAGCCTAGGGAACGATTTCGCCTAACTTTCAATTATGATTCAATGAATTCAAATTATTCCAATTGCTTTTCCTATATTTAAAAACAAGAATTCAATTGTATTTCTCTCCCTTCTCTCGAGTGCCGGTTAGAAATTAATCCTAAAATTCAATCTCAATATCTCTATTCCGAATTAAAACCTAAAATTTATCAAAGTCCAGATTCTTTTGTGGAGTAAGCTAAATTCCTCTCTCTCGAGTGCCGGAATCGACTAGCATCTATTCATTCAATTATTGATCAACTAATTGAAAGCATTAAAATCATGACACAATTAAATATAAGCGAGAAATTCCGAAAGAAATAATTCNTCATCAAACCATAATCTCAAGTCGCTACATCAAACCCTAGCTAAATTATTTAGCTCTTGAAGAATTCATAAAATTTAAACAATCTACAATGGAAAATATAAAGGAGAAGGTAAGAAAAACTCTTTTTGGAGTGTTGCTCGAAATCCCCTTTGATATTTCCATACTTTCTTCAATTGATTTATTTCATTCTTTGTATTGCCTCCAAAGCCGTCTTCTCCCCCTTGAATTAGGTCTTCAAACTTGTATTTATAGCCTCAACAGATAATAACACTGATTGAAGTTGGGTCGGGCTGAAAAAAATGTAAAAGTTGCATTTTTTTCCTTTTCTCGGTATCCGGTGCCGAGGCGCCCAATCTGGGCGCCACGTATTCTACTGATTTTCATCATTGTGGGCTCCAAGGCGCTCACCTTGAGCGTCAAGGTGCCCGATTCGCTGAAATTCAGTTTATACTTCTTTCAGTATTTTTAATATAACTTTTTCTCATGATATCCGATTGAGATGATTCAAGACTCATTGGAAAGCTAACTCAAAGGGCCACAATTTTGCTTCAGACATCATTCTCCAATTCAATTGTTTACTGTGTCAAAATGAGTCTCAATATGAGACTAAAAATTCGGAGCAAAACTTTTCGGTTGGAAATTGATTTGTTGACTATTTTTGATCCATTTGACATCTTTCTCCTTCCGATTGACTATTAACACTCTCAAATCTCCATCATGGGGTTCGGCGCAACTTTTGAGTATTTGCACTTTAGTCCCCAAACTTTGGATCTCTTACAATTTAGCAATTTCTCCAATTTTGTCAACTTTTGCTTTTTTTTTTTTTTTCAATCTTACCAACCTACATCACAACATCAAAACACATAAAATTACTCTAAAACTTTTTCAATGACAACAAAATAATGAATTAAATGGCATAAATATCATGAGTGTGGAGCACTAATCAGTACTGTTCATCTTCCCCAACATTCCCACCCCTACCACATTCCCTCAACACCTCAACCCAAACAAAATCAAAATCCCAACCCCCGTCATCATCACCACGACTACTGCATACCACCACCACCGTCAAAATCCCCTACCCATGACCATTGCATAAAACCAAGATGTATCCCCTTGCCTTCTCTTCCTCAATAGCTCTAAACACAAATCCATTGGTGAAATTGCGGCCAAACTCACTTGGGATTCTTGCTACTTAGAAGCATAGCATTTAATGCTTTGTTATCAAGTCCAAGAATTTGAGATTGTACAACTAATGTTTCAACTTGTGCACTAGATGTTGCACGCTCCACCGTGTATCCTCCCTCAGTTATACCACTCGAGGAGTCAAGATTATTAGGCGTCATCTTGTTTTATTTCAAAGCTCACGCTTCCATCACAACTTGACGTTGATAGTGTAAATCTGTTCGAAGATTCATTATCAGTGCCACGAGCAAGTTCCTGCTAGACTCTAGATGTATCTATGGATTCATCAACAACTATATTGGGGCTATTTAAATTAGAAACACCAAATGGTGAAGTCTCTTTTGTATATGCTCTCTTCTGATAATTGACGATTTCAAGAATAAAAATTGATGGTGTCTTTGCCAAAAACTTCAGTGGCCGTTGCAGTGATGACATTGTGAGAATTTGATTTAGTTTGGTTTGAGGTGAGGTGAGGGGAGGGGAGGGGAGGGGCATAGGGGTAGGGAGATTGGGGAAGATGAACAGTACTTTTGTTGTTTTATTTAATTATTTAATTATGGAAATTATAAATATACCATTTTGTCCCTTATTTAATTTGTCCATTTGAGTCAAAATTGCAATTTAACTGTTGACTAACGGTATCATGGATGAAATCAATGATTTGGATCACGGATGCAGTTAAATATAAAGGTTTGGGACTAAAATCATAAAAATGAAAGATTATGGTATAATCTGCAGCAAAACAAAAGGTTTGGGACCTCCGCTACAATTTTCCCCAAGTTCAATGGGGCCAAAAGGGAGTGAGCAATTAGGGATCTGGTCAACGCCTTTTCAATGTTCCTTCCCTCGGTAAAAAAAGCTAGAAGTGAATTGTTCGGAATTTTTTATGACTACAATGACACTAGGGTCTGCCTGAGACTTTTAGGATATCGGTTATGAGCGTTTTTTTAAAATACTAATTTTAATGGGTTAAGAGAATCGATCAAAATTACACTACATCAATTTTGAGTGATTTAGTGCTAAAAAAAATGAGTAAGCACCGATTTTTTCAATCTAGAAAAAATATCTCGAGTAGGCCCTAAGGTGGTTCGCTTACATTCGTCCATGTCGCTCCCTCTCTCTGATATATATATAAACCCTCCACTTCTCTTCTTTTATCTCTTCAGATTCGAGATAGAAAGAAAAACAAGAATCACACAACCAATAACCCTGCAACATACATCCAAAAGTGAATATGTTGAATGAGAGAGAGATGGAAAGAAGAAGGAGAATGGACTTTACCAGTGAGCAAATGGGCTGCCGGAAAAGATTAAAGGGTTCGCTGGAATCCGCCGGAGAGTCTGATTTCTTCGATGCCTTGCCTGATGATCTTGTCCTCTGTATTCTCTGTAAACTCAGCTCCACTGCATCCTGCCCTGCAGATTTCATCAGCTTTTTGATAACGTGAGCACTTGTACTTCCATATTTTTCTGTTTCAATAAAAAAGAAATGGTTTTTCTGTGCTATTTATATGGGCTTCAATCTAAAGTTTGTTGATTTTTCAATGAATAGATGCAAAAGATTTAATGGGTTAGGACTCCATTCATTAGTGTTATCCAAAGCTTGTGAGGAAATGATATCAGTCAAAGCTAAGAACTGGTCTGAGTCAACTCACCGATTCCTCAAACTCTGTGCCGATTCTGGGAATGCTGAAGCCTGTTACACTCTTGGCATGGTAAATATATTTTTCTTAGAAATCATTTTATCAAAATGTGATAAGGATATTTCAATTACTGTGATTCATTGTCAACAGATTCGTTTCTACTGTTTGCAAAACCGAGGGAGCGGCGCGTCTTTAATGGCGAAGGCTGCTATTAGTTCTCACGCGCCGGCAATTTATTCACTCGCTGTCATTCAGTTCAACGGAAGCGGTGGTTCGAAAAACGACAAGGACCTAAGAGCTGGTGTTGCACTTTGTGCGCGCGCCGCTTTCTTGGGGCATATCAACGCGCTTAGAGAGCTCGGCCACTGCCTGCAAGACGGTTATGGAGTGAAGCAGAACATCGCCAAGGGGCGCCGATTCCTCATCCAAGCCAACGCGCAGGAGCTAGCCGCCGTTTTGGACACAGCGGCTCCATCGGCTCTGAACGTCGGTTCGTGGCTTACGTGGAATCCCCTGCTTCTCCATCGCTACGTTTCAGTCGCCGGATGTACGTTTTTGAGTGACTTTGGGTATAATGTTCCGGCGCCGGAGACTCATCCAGTGAACCGTTTTATATCCGATTGGTTCTCGGGTTTTGAAGGGATTCCGGGTCCGGGGCTCCGGTTGTGTTCCCATCCGGGTTGTGGGAGGCCAGAGACTAGGAGGCATGAGTTTCGGCGGTGCTCTGTGTGCGGAGCAGTGAATTATTGCTCCCGTGCTTGTCAGGCTCTAGATTGGAAGCTCCGCCACAAGGCGGAGTGCACCGCCGCCGAGAGGTGGATCGATGACGGCGGCGAAATTGAACCTAACGGAATTGACATCAACATTGTCGGCAATGGGAATGCTGAGGAGGCAATGGAGATTTGACTGTAACGGCAGTTGAGTTTTTGAAAATGAGGATTGAAAATGAGGATTGAGGCAAAATTTTGGGGACCAAAATTGAAATATATCTTTGTTGTTGTAAATGTTTTTGGTATTTTGCTGCTTTGCCAGATGGTTTTACCGTAATCAGGTTGTCAGAATGAGTTAGCAAATTGTGATTCAATGGTTTAAAAGTAATTTTGGTCCAACTACCAATGAAATGCTGATAAGTGTTAATATGACATAAGGATCATGCTACAAGTAAATAATCATTTACATAATACATTACATAATGACATGTGACACGCGTCCACCGATAGTCTACAATTTTTGACTTTTCCACACTTCACATCCACGGTCGAATTTCTTCCGCATTGACCTATGTAATCCATTATGCATAATAATTATGTACATATAGATTTATCAATGACATAATAGGGATAAAATTAGTTTGATAATGTAGCATAACTCATGTTTTTGCATAGAATCAATCCCCTTTTTTCACAGCTACTCAATTTTTAAATTAAAAAAAAAATCACATAAATATGACATGATGATGGCTTTATTTTGGTTTGTGTTCAAAAGTATGACCAAATAATATGGGAGGTTTCATTTTGCTGCTTTTTTTTTTTGACAATATATTGGCAATTAATTCTTGATTTTGTTTAAAGAAAATTTGCATACGATTTCGGAAATCGAATAAGCATTAATTATATTGTATGAGATTAAGGCCTAATTCAAATTGTAAAAATGAATTTTACCAACCTAATAATTTATATTAATTCAAGTCTTATCCGTATGAAATTCAAAATAATAAATTAAAGTTCAAGTTGAGACAAGTATTTATATGATAAATAATAGGGAAAATTGCTGAAGCAGGTCTTAACTTTTTTAGTTTTTGTGGACTTTACTCTAATCTTCAATTTGTGTCAGGAAAAGTCCATAATTTTTTAGAAATATGCATCTGGAGTCCAAATGAATGGAAACCATTCAATTGATCGTTAGTTGACCAAAAAAATTAATTTTGACTAAAATTAGTAAAGGCAAATTGATAACTTAGTTAATCCCATATTATAAAATTAAAAAATAAAAAGAAAAAATGTTCTCCTTCACCTCACAAACCCCTTTCCCACTCCCAAGGCCCCAACCCTGCAAATCAATGGCGAGCACTGCCGCCTAATGTCGTCACCACTTTCGGCACCACCACTGACGTCAAAGCAATCAATTGCAGCGCCTATTCGATAATCCCAGAGCTGAAACCAGCAAAGCAGCAAAACCATCGTTCTTAAAAGCCCATTGTCGCTTCCACAACCCAATCTCTCTCGCTTCGCAAACCAACCCCAAAACCTCATTCTCCACCATCTACGGCGGCGTAAGCACTTGTTTCTTCATCAACCCCTCTAACAGTGGATATGGCCTAATCCTCCGAAATGTCTAACGGACCTATGCAATCAACAAAATCCTTCGAGCCCTCCACAAAAAGCAAAATCGCATTGTCTAGGTGGAAGAATCCCTTGCCCAAGGTAAAACTCTCAATAAGGAACAAGAAGAAACACTGCGCTCCAAATCTACAGTCCTTGCTGGCATTAACGAGCTCGAGAAGCTTCGCCGATCGCTCATGGCCGCTCTCTCCTAAGAATTCTCTCTCGCTTTGGAAAAACTTCAAAACCCTGAAACCCCAATAGGAGAACATCCAATTGAAGTAAATCCAACTGAGGAAACACGGAACACCGAGTAGAAGAAGCATGCGAAACCAGCTGTGATGTGAAGGAGAATTTTTTTTTTTCATTTTTTTTCTTATTATTATTATTTTTATAATATGAGATTAACTAAGTTAACAATTTTCTCTTACTAAATTTAGTCAAAATAATTTTTTTGGTCAACTAACGATCAATTGGATGATTTCCATCCATTTGGACTCCATATACATATTTCTGAAAGGTTAGAGACTTTTGTTAGCATAAATTGAAGGTTATGATAAATTCCACAAAAATTGAAAAGGTTAGGGACCACTGCTGCAATTTTCCTAAATAATATGTTTCGTCAGATATATTTTTCATTTGGTAATTCAAACCAATCAAGGAAAAATATTTAGTATAAAATTTAGCAAGATAAAGTACTATATAACTTTCGAGGCTTGATATCCAATTACGAAACAAATCATAATCAGACTAAAAGATTCGGAATATAAGGTAAAATGACCTAGTCAATAGTTCGGTCATCATTCCTCTTCGTCATGGGTCGAGTTTGGATTCATAACCAAATCGTCGTCTAAGCTTGCCAATGTATGTCCATATACTTGCACAATCTCGTGCACTTGTCATGAACATTTGTTCACCAGACCTATCTAACTTTATTCAATGTGATATAATTGACACGGTATATGAGTCATATTGAAAAGAACAAAAGAAAAAGTACGTGCAAAAAGATAAATTAGTGAAAGAGAGAGCATCTCATGGTGGAAGTGCACTTATTCCTTCTTTTATCATCATCATTATATACTATCCCAACCAAAACCTAAGTATTCAAAATACAGTGAGAAAAATTGAATAAGGGGGTCCAAATCAGGTCCATTTAAAGCCATCTTTAGCAATTCAACTAATTCTGGTTGAGAATGTGAGGACAGCACTAAACTGGGTGAAGAATATGACATTTTATTCCCAATTTTTGAAGGTTTTCTCTATTTAGGGTTAAAATCAATCCTAATGTGAATATGGTTTATATCTGTCCCTACTTGCCAAGCATAAGGTACAACTCGAGCAGCTGCATTGATGCCATAGCAATTAAAATTGTGAAATTAAAGTTTACCTACTTGCATGACTAGGCATAACCAATATACTATTGCAATTTATGGAGTTTTTTTAAATTTTGGCATGTGATTTGTTGGACTTGAGATAATGGGTTTGTGATTTTGGAAAGAGACTTTTCTTTTCTTTGCATTTAAATTTGATGTAAAAGTGGCCACGAAAGTCCCATCCATAAGAAAATCAATGCATGACACAATTTGTCACTTGTGATATTGATCACCTCATCGATCAGTAAGCCATCGAAACTTAAATTAGATGGTTAAGCAAAAGATATCTTGACTTTCGGGTAAGACTCCTAAATGATCTCAGTGATAAAGGTACATGAATTATTTGGTCCCTATTAAATGTGCATTGAATCCATTTAGAAACTAATGGATGTAAAGAAATAGCTAACCGCTCTACTAAATCGGGCTGGATGTGTGTATGCCTAATCCATTTAGGGTGTTGTATTCAACAAATAATTGGTAATGTCAAAGTTCCTATGCTAGATGGGCTGGTCGATTTTGTTCGCCATGGTTACAACGTTGACTTGATAAGCTGAGTCCTGCAAAGAGAAGGGGTTGGGAGTCTCGTCCCCAATCCCCCTACGACATAAGAAAAAGTTAAGAGGGTCAAATATTTATAATGACTCGGAATATTAGATAAGAATTATTATGTTGAGTAAAAAATAAACAGTTGTGCTATATGTATATTATCATTTATAGATGAGAAATGCTATTCATCCACACTGATGATGCATTCTCAGTCTATGTGGCGTTAATGTGACATTAAATAATATGTGAAATTAAATAAGTCATTTAATTTTACCTATCATTCAACCAATTATTTACATCCACATAGATTGAGGTTGCATCCCTACTGAGAATGAATAACATTTTTCTTTATAGATTGGTGTATACATACACATGATGTAGTGAAATATTGGGCTTGTTTGATCCTCCATTTTTTTTAAATGCAGTCCTATCTCTCTTCTTTTTAATCACACATTCTTCAATAAAAGAATATTACACGCAACCCAAAAAACTTTCATTCATCTTTAACTACACATTCTCCATTAATCTATTATTTCAAAATGCATTCTACAAAAAAAAAAAATGGGGCACAAACAAACCTATAATTGCGTCAAAATTTCTTCAACCAAATGAAAAAAAAAAAACTTCTTCACTATCTTTTTAACATCTCATCTATCTGTAAAACTTTCTATGTGGGTGTTTGGTGGGGATTCAAATTATATTTTTATTAGATTGTGATAGAAATTTTTGAAATATGTGATTGAAAAGTTGTGGGACCCATGAAAGATGTAATTAATATTGATTATTTGATTTTAACTTAGATTAAAATCTGATTTTAATAAAAAATAAAAAAGGCCTGTAACTTTTTATATACAAGTAGTATTGTTCAAAAATAAATATTCCCCAACCAAACTTTTATAGAAGTGCGGTTGAAGAGGTAGTGGGGCAATTTATCCCCTAAGTTGATGGGTCCATGCATTCATGTGATAACCGCTCTCGCCCATTCCCCTGTTTGCTCTTTAGGACCATGGGCTTAAAAATGAAAGTTGCTCGGTTCGAATAACCTTACTGGTATCATAAGTCCCGTCACTCACGAGGGGTGGGTCATCGTTCGAGAGCGTAAAAGGCACTTGATTTATCCATATTCACGTCCACACATTAAATCATAGCCCCCAATCTTATATGGGAAGGATATTTGTTTCCCCTAACTAAGGACTTAGGTACTTACTTCGAGTCAAATCTTATGTTATCGATTTTGATCCAATCTTATTATTTACTAAATGTAACCACCCGATATGAATCAAGGCTTATGTGCTCAATCGGATTCAAGGCACGGATGTTTACCATGCTTAACCCGACTCAAGGCTTATCGTGCTCGATCATCGTCAAGGCTTACCATGCTTGACCGGAGTCTTAAGTGTTTAGAATTATTGTCATGCTTGATCAAAATCAAGGCTTACTGTGCTCTATCGGAGTCGAGGTATCAAGTCTTATAATGCTTAACCGGGAATCAATGCTTTATCGTGCTCGATCAGAGTGGATGGCTGTTTACCTATGGGGCCTGAATTGGAGACGAGATTTGATGGCATAAAATGGAAATCATAGATGTTGTTTGATGGCTCAAGATATTGTTTATGATTGTGGCGATTCCCTTAAAAGTCCCAAATGGAACAAGTACTAGAACTAAATGAGTTAGTGGCTGCATAGCAAGAGCTAACCAAGTTGGTAGCCACTGAAACTGAACATGGTATCGAACTCCAAATGCTGGAATTTCAAATCACCAGAACATTTGAGCCACCTAGACGGGACGTAATATGAACCATGAATCAGTTGCTACAGCTGGTCCTCTTGATAGTACGGTAGTAGCATCCAAATGTGCAAATGTCATAGCAAGAGCAGAGTCGTCAAATATCCAAGCTTTTGGAGTCTATCTGATGCTATTTTTCCTGCTTTTTACCGTGATAGATCAAATTCAACAGCAAAATTCTAGCTGAATTGCACTCGTCAAATTCTGAATAATCCTCTTTCACTTATGCATCACTTGGAAATGATAATTTCCTATTATTTTAAAGATCATCCGGCACCAAACTTCCCACATTTTTCATTCAAATTATTCTCTTTTCCGTACTAAAGATCGAAATCCAAGTTAAACTGCTACATATGCTTACAGTTACAGCCGAAATAGTCTTTAATTAATACTCGAGTATGATCTTTTAAAGAGCCCCTCAAATTCCTGTGAATCGTTTGGGTTTCATATCAAACTAAGGTGAGAGAATGGATGAAGCTTTTGACCTCAAAAGCTCCTTCATTTACCCCAATGATGCTGTGGTTGATTTTCCTTCCTTCCTAGTGTCCTAGCTAGCTACCATCCATGGTGGGTCAAGAAGCTTGCCTTCATTTATCATGACCCCCTTTGCGTGTTTATGCGCTTCGAGAGAAAAGTCACACAAAAATCAACCATTTTCAGTAAGTGAGATCAATTACGACCACTGCGGGAAACACCCATCTTCAAACATTTAGTATCTGTAATTTCTAACACTCTAATTTGAGCAGGATAGGCCATTGAAATTTTGGATAAGCAGGTGTTCTAGCAATTTAAACCATATATTGTGGCCATCCATTGTGATAAGAAAGGCAGCTGATGATGTATTGCATCTGTAGACCACAAATTGACAGTAGCCTTGAGCCTTTGAAATATTTCATCTGCATTAAAGAGCCTCAATATGTTGCAAAAACTCCCACTGTTCCAGCTGATGAAATTCATAGCTAATTAATTGTTCCAGCTCCAATCTGTAGACCACAAAGGCTCAAATTGTTTGAACTTTCCTCCCAGGAATAGCCTTAAGGAACTAGTAACATGCCACTTCAAGAAATACCAGAGCTAGTAAGAAATATCATGCATGATAACTCCAACAAAGTATCCAAATGTTGAGATAAAATCCCAATCTTTAACAAATCTATTAGGGTTTTCAAACTTTAAGGTAGATAATCATTCGACTTCCTTCAAATTATCAAGTGCGAGCAGCTAAACACAAAAGTTTATAATTAATGATCGGGATCCAAGTAGGTAATTAAATTCTTTATACGAGAGAGGAGGTAGAGAAAGAGCCAAGATAAACTATAAACAATTAAATTAACATATATTTCAATGAAGATAATTTATAAAAAAAACTCAAGTAGATGATGTCTAGGGTGGAATCGGATTAAAAAATCAATTGAGCTCGAGAAATTTAGAAATAAATTGTTAGACATTGATGAACATATGAAGTGATGTCTTGATTATGTAAAAAAAGTTATTCTAATCGAAAAATTTAATATGACGATTTTCACATTTGTGCAAAAAGGTTATAAATATTGTAATGCAAAAGCGAGAATATGCAATAGAAAAATAAGAACGAGAACACACAAATTTACGTGGAAACTCAAGACGAAAAAAATCCGGTAACTTAGGAGGAAAAAATTACTACATCATAGATGAGTACAAGATATCGATGTTTTGACGACTACACAAAATAATACAATGAAACCCTAACATACATCATATATATATATACAGATGCGAGAATAATAAAATAGTCGGCTCGGGCCTCTTGGCCCAATCCCTTTGTTACCATCACAAATCCCAAAAAATTCTTATAATTTTGGTTTCATCACATATATTGCACCGCGAACTTTTCGGATTGAGCCTAACAAAATTCGAATCCCGTATTCTAACAACTACAAATTAAAAAATAAAAATAAAAATAATGAATATTTTATGCACGATGTGCTACACTATGGGTCCCAAATCAATTAGAAAACACATATGTGGAGCATTTACTATGTAATTTATTAAAAGGTTGAAAATAAAGATTGAAAGACCTATGCCTTTCATGCTTGCTTTAGTACGGAGAAGAAAAAGAAAAAAGAAAAAAAGAAGCAAAGATTTGGATCTGAAAAGGCAAAAACTTTAGTGCAATGCCCAAATAAATCTTCTCTCTTTAGCACTGAATTAGAGCAAGATTCTTTAATTCTACTACATACTTAGAGTTTAGGCAAATATATTTATTTAAAGTTCATCTCCAATAATTTTGTCTATATTTCACGTCGAATTTTTAAAACTCATTTCTCCCCAAATTCATTTAAATTACACTGTTCATGACATCCATAACTTTTGTCATCTTTTAATAAGATTTATTAAAAATCTAATTTTTACCTGAATTTAATAGTCTACGATGCCCAACATGACTCATCGGCGTGTCTCATCAACTAGACAACGTTGATTTCTTTGTTTTTTTTTTTAACCTTTTTAAGAGAACATGGATGGAACGTAATGCATATTTTTTTGCATAGCAATTCACCAGAATACACACAAACAGTGGGCCCCACCATGTATTAAAAAAATGCGCAGGACCCACATGTGAGTCTATTATGTGGATTTTCTGTTACTTCTTCTTCTGTACAAGAAGCAGATCTCATTTTTTTGGGCATACTTTTTAGTGATTGATCTTCCACACAAACTCTTAAGAGTCCATTTAATTTCACAATAAGGATACAATAGTCAAGGTTCTTCCAAAACTTATTCCTATACCAAACTTTCTCGTACATAACTCTTACGAGTCCTTTTAATTTCACAACACAGACATGAACTCTTATGAGTCCTATGATATATATAAATTCACAACACGGAGAAAATGGCTGAAGTTCATTCTAACCATGAATAAACACTAGCTAGAATCAAACATCCACTGCCCTATCGACTAAATGCACGACATGTTAGGGGTTTCTTCATCTCTAGAGAAAGTTTCAAGCATTCTGAAAGATTGACGGGTTGGGCTGTTGGAACCCATTTGAACTCTTGGAGTAGTCGTGCAAGCCATAGGTGGACCGTAGCCAAGCCCAAAGCCTTTCCTGGACAGACACGACGGCCCGATCCAAACGGAGCAAGCCTTAAATCTGAGCCCATAATAGAAACCTCTTCCTCTATGAACCTTTCGGGCTTGAAAGCCCATGGGTCTGCCCATATGGATGGATCGTGGGTTATAGCCCACATGTTGACCATAGCCGTCGTGCCAGCTTGGATGAAGTGTTTGTCCACGTGCGTATCATGGGTTGCTAAACGGGCCCAAGAGAGCAATGGGCCTGGAGGATGGAGCCTTAAGACTTCCTTCACTATGGATTGAAGATAGGGAAGTTTTGCAATGTCCAAGTCTCGAACTGGCCCGTTTCGGCCCATAACTGTATCAATCTCACTTTGGGCTTTTGCTTGAATGTCTTGGTGCAAAACCATTCTTGCCATGATCCATTCAAGAAGGATGGCAACTGTGTCTGTTCCTCTAAACACCATCTCCTACAACCAAATATAGATACAAATAAACAATTAGTGAATATATGTACAAGGAAGATGTTTGAATTAAAAATTGCGTGAGATGAAAGTTTTATGTACGGTTTTGAAATAGAGATACAAAAAATTAGAAACTATACATTAGATGGCTACTCTTCTACTTTTGTTGTTACTTTTCTTTCTATTACTTTGAAAGAAGCTAATATTTTAGCTTCAACTTCTTGATTTTCGTATATTCTTCGTGTTTTCCTTTGGCGTCCGTATTTTTGAGGAAAATAAGAAATTCTGATGTGTTTGGGATTACGTTTCTAAAAAAGTAACCTAAAACTTACTTCTTTCAAGGGTTTAAATGTCGAGGTAAGATGTAATTTAACTACTTTGGATAAAGAAAAAAACCCGCTTCTTTTATAAAGCGAAGCCAAGCATGATTTAGATGTGCTTAAAAGATGCTTTTTTTTTAAAATACCTGCATATGAGTCGAATCTTTTAATTACTAATTGAGAATAAAGAAACCGAAAAAAATAAAATCTTAAGAAAATCTAATTTATTTATATTTCTTGCTTTTTAGTCGCTTACGACTATGCTTTCTTTTTGTGTTGGTCGGTGAAGAAGGTATGTGAAAAATGAGAAATTCTGTACTGTAAAGTTGCTACTTTATCCAAAGGTAACAAAACATGATTTCATGTGCATGTTTCCTCGGATGCCATCAATTTTACATGGTCTAATCTACGAAGCAACAAAAGCTATTATAACAATTCTATGCAGAGAGAGGGTGGGGTGGGGTGGGGTGGCTTACCCACAGAACAGCCACCGTGTCTGCATCACTAAGTTGATCCTCTTTGGGCAACGAAAGCAAAAGACTAAGGAAGTCGTCTTTGTTTTCATAGACTCCATTTCTTCTTCTTTCGACTATGACTCGACCCACAAGATCGTTAACTTTCGTCGCTAATTTATGACACCTTCTCTTTACACCTCGAAAATCTAAAAACCCTAAAGAAAAATAATCTGCCCAGTTGAATTCTGATATCACCTCGTACCCTTCCTTAACCATTAAACCTAATTCATCACCGTGTACTAAACCTAAATCACAACCAAATACACTTTCTAGTACATTTTCTAATGACCCTTTTTGTAATATCCCTTTTACCTCCACAAACCCTCTCATTTTCATCTCACTGCAAATTCCCTCTATCATATCATTGGCTACACGTTGTCGAATGCCCTCAAGAGACGAAATCCTCCTCGGAGAGAACATATGATTTGCAGCGATTCGTCTAAGATGTCGCCAATAGTTTCCCGAGGGGGCGAATCCAATGGCACGTTCGAACATAAGCAAACGAGCCGATTCCTTTATAGGACGATCGGTAAACGAGCTACCACATAAAATCTCTTTAGCCGTATCAGGGTGACTACTGATTATGACTCGTGTAGTACCAAGACTAATGGCCATGAGACGATTCGCATCTAATGAAGTAGCTATAGAAGCTAATTTTTGATGAAAATGATACCCCATTTGAGGTAAGAACCCTAAAAAAGGCCAACTTATAGGACCCTTCAAATTTTTAGGGTTTCGAAAATAGTTAAGATTTCTCCATGCAAAACCACCTGGTACTAAACATAGATTCGGGAACAAGGGAAAAACATAGAAGAAGAGTAGAAGAAGAGTAAGGAACCACGCAGTTTCATAAATGGCTACAAAACATAGGACAAGGAAAAATAAGTTGGCCAAAATAAGTGGTTTCATGATTAAGTGGTTCACTTAGAAGCAGATGAAAATAATTGGAATTGGATATAAAAAGAGCCTTTCAGAGCCTAATAGAAATGTCTAGAGATGGATTCATGTCGTGTGAGGATTCCATATGAATTGGTTCATATATATAGTGCATGAAAAGCTATTTGAATCAATGATTTGGTCTATATACCTTGTTTGATTGGTGCACGTACGTAGTACCCTAAAGTGAGGAAATTTTGGAAAAAAATAAAATAAATTTTGGAGCTTAATATCTTCTTAATAGTGAGTTGATTTATTGTTTGTAATTATAATTACTTACTAGTTAATTTATTGTTTTATTTGACAGTCTAAACCCTTCCCAAATTAGCAATATTTAATTGGGATAGCCATGGGTTTAGCCAAGCCATCTTGGTCCTAGGATACACGAGCTTAGCTCATGTTCACGAAGTAGGCTCGGTTCGGCCATTTGGTTCCTGGGCCTCATGAGCTCAGTCGAACCGCCCACGAGCTCATGATGCAGCTTGAATTTTTCTTTTAAAAAAAAATTAATAAAACAAATTCAAAATTAAACTCTCGAACCCAAAAACGAGCCCAAAACAATGCTGCCTAGCTCGGTCCATTGCTTATAACGAGTCCGAGTCGTCCATGGATCGAGTCGGAACTAGGGATGGCAAAAAGGCTCGTTAGCTCGGGCTCGGGACGAGTCCCATCTCGGGGCATACGGCCCGGCCCGTGGCTCGTCACCAGCCCGTCACTAAGTAATAAAAAAAAATTTAAGTTTAAATGTATTTTTTTTTTTATAAATTGCACAAATTTTAAATATATTATAAAAAATTATAGATTTATAATGAATTTGGAAAAAAAACACGAGCAACTAACGCTCAAGCCGAAAGCTCAAGCCTAGCCTCATTTTTTTGGCCGAGCTTTTGCTCGGCTCTGATCCAAAAAAGGCTCGGACCTGTTTTGCTCGAGTCGAGCCCGAGCTTTGAGTTTCAGCTCATCTCGGCTCGGCTCGACTCGTTGACATGGCTAGTCGGAACTAGTCGAGCCTTAAAGCGGCTCGATCAGTTTGTCATCCCTAATATTGAAGCGTTCTTACTTGTATTTTTATAACTAATAAGCTTTATTAATTAGGTGAAGCGATTCAACATACCGTACTAGATCAAGGCCATCATCATGCGTTTTTGAAATGTTTTGTTAGTTATTAGAATAAATACAATTAGGGTTAGTGGAGAAAGTGATTGAAACTATTGATAATTGGAAGTGGATATCAGTTCATGTCATGAACCAAATGGAACCAAAACCCTTCAATAATAATTCTGAAAGAAGTCATTGCAACATATCTTTTAAGCACTTGCATTGTGTTTTCCATATTTGGAAGATAGAGTTTGACATTTGAGCTTCCATTCCAATAAATTAGATATAAGGTGAAGTATCCATTCATCTTCCTCAAATCTTTGGAAGTCACATACTCTATCAAGATGCAAATAATTATTCCACTGCGTGAAGTTGTCACTTGCTACCACCTTCATTCAACTGCAATTAAAAACCTAGTGCGTCTGCATAGTTAAGTTTAGGATGACCTCAAACCCCATTCTAAACCTGAAATAGTAGCCACTTAGCATGCTTAGGGTGCGACAAATTAGACCGTACACGAAATTTAGTATGAAATTATGATAAATAGTATCATATACATTGTATTATAGTGGATTAATTTAGAAAATACTCTTTTACTTTTCATTCAAAAGAATGTTGTTGGAGTTCGACCTCGTAACTTATTAAATAAATATTTCAGAGTACTGTTCTTGTATTAGTTTTAAGATCGGACACCAAAAAAATGAGATCAGGTTGGTCAAATGGCCATCATAATTTCATGTGACACCATGATTTGAATTCATTGCCCCACCTCATCACCAGCCACTCTCAGCACAATACGTGGCAACTATGACATCAACGCCTCACTCTCAAACCATTACAATCAAGTAATGACTCCCTAGTTGCTAACCACAGTACTAACGCCATAGCTGTAATAAAGGCATCATGATGACCTGCACGCATTTCTAAGTCAATAATGTAGCTAAAATGACATCGGGCGGCCAAGTGGGGGTGGTCTTTCTGCCTATAAATAGGGATGAATGGTTCACCTCCTAAGGCAGAGCTCACGGGATTGGGCAACAAACACTCCCAAACTTGTATTTAGTGCAATTACGTGGTAAACTAAAAACAACTACAAGTAAATCATCTCTATCTCGGAACCTCTACAACATAGTCAGCAGTCGAGAAAAATGCACCATAGGCAACCTAAGTGGCTACTGTTTCAGGTTTTCCAACTCGGTTTTCTTTTTGTCCGAATGAACAGAAAAATGCCAAAAAAAGGTGTCACATCGACTAATGTAGGGATGATTCCATATTTGTAAGGGCATAAAATAGGAGATATTATCAACTTATTGTGGACTAAAANACAAAATGATCAGAACCAAGACAAATTGAGTGGTTCAATTCGATTCTATAAAAAAAATTAAAAATTTTGGTTCTTAGAATCGAGAACTGAACTATGAATTTTTATCATTTTTATATATTTTTTCTTTTTACAAATAAATGAATCACCCACAAAAAAAAAAAAAAAAAAAAAAAAAAAAAAAAAAAATCCAACTTGATTCATGTCAATTCCACTATATCAATTATCCTCTCAAATAAACTACTGATCGTTACATAATCGATAAGCTATTGCGATAACAATTCACTACTCGATAGACCCAAAAACAAATATCCCACTAAACATTCCATTCCAATTTTTTTTTCTTACAAAACCTCAAAAGTATCCAATAGCATTCAAGTCTTGGGCTAATGCATTTATATAATTGCACAAGCATTTTATCCCATAATCTTTTAATAATAATAACATGATAAGTAGAAAGTAAAGCAAACGCGTGGACGTTTTTCCATCAGAAAATTTTCATCTTTTTCTTATATAATTGACATACCTTTACCAAAAGCATTGGCTTTAATAAAATGTAAAACTTCCCACTAACTCCAATTAAATTGGCTGCCTATGGAAGAAATGGGTAATGGGATGTTAAAGTATCAAACAAAGACCACCAATTGAAACAATTGAGCCTGTATTCAATAGGTTGTATACAGTTGTAAATCTTAAAAAGCAAGAAATCTTTGCGGTCGAAAAAATAATTTTATTTTCCTGCTGGAATCATCTAAGTTATGAAATTTGTTAACATTTCCAAAAAGTAAAAAAAAAATTTTTTTGCTCGAAAACTATTTTTAACTATTTTTTTATTAAAATTTCGTGTTCATTTGACTTTGTTTTATATGAAAATTGTCCACTAAATTGAATTTTGTTTTTTATAATTGGTTATGAAATTTGTTAATATTGCCAAAAAAAAAAATAATAATAAAATTTGGCAAACACATGGAAAATGCTTCCCAAAAACTAAAAATTGAAAAAAAAATCAACCATCCACCTCTATTTCATTTCTCTCCCTCCTAGAGTTGATTGAGAGTTTTGGAGTCTGGAGAGGTGGCGTCGGAGATTGGTGACTAAAGGACAGTGGTGGAGGTGGAGTTGGGTGTGGTGGTGCCGGCATTTTGGGTGGGGTGGGAAGAAAATAAAGTTTTTTGGTTTTTGATTTAATTATTTGATTTTAGTTTTTTTATATGAAAAAAACGTAAAGTTACCATTTTGCCCTTTAAAAATTAGTCAACAATTAGTCAGATTTTTAATTTTTGGTCGACTAACAGTCAAACTAACGGTTTCTGTCAATTTGGATTCCAAGTGGGGATTTTTTAGAAGTTTGGTACTGCAAGTGATACAAATGAAAAATATGGACAAAGTCTGCAACTAAATGAAATGTTTGATACTGTGGCTGCAATTTTGCCAAAGCTTGCTGAAGTGGAAGGAATGAGTCGGACCATTCATCTAAAAGCTTGTCATATATGTGTAGGTCGAATTTATTTCTTTATAGAGTTGTATGCGGACCAACACAATTGTATATGTTGTGCTAGACACTCATTAAAGTCACATTAAACTCAAACGAGAAAAAAAAAATCATTTAGTCCCTGTTTGGTGGGGGATTAAAATCAGATTTTTAGTAAATTTCGATAAAAGTTGATAAAATGTGTGGTTGAAAAATTATGAGTCCCATGAAACATGTAATTACTTGGATTTAAATTAAAATCTAGATTTTACAAGAACTTTGTTTAAAAGCCCAAACGAGCGACCAAAATCCATAACCAACATATAATGATTTGAGCTATTACTCTTAACAAGATAGAACTTTTAAAATGGAACTCCAAATCTTAATCTTCTTTATGGATTGTTTAAGCAACTGAATTAGACGAATGAAATTGCAATAATTGGATGACACTAAGACTTCACGTGATCATCTCGTCTGAAACTTAAGTTGTTATATACTAGAATTGACAGTTATTTATTCTAATCATGTTTCAACATACTTCCTTAGTTGACAATTAAATTTATTTTTTTAACGCGCACACAATTTTCATAAATGTATGCGACTACAAAACTCGAAAAGTACAGATATTTTGCATAATTAAAGCCGTCTTGTCAACCATTCCCTCCGATAGATAACAATTAGTTTTCCTATAGAAAGCTAAAACTAGTAATTAGGTTGAAATAAAAATGGTAAATAAAATCGTCCACTAAGAAATGGATACGTTTACCTTACTTTTCTATATTTAAATTGTTTAAAGAAAGGATTAAATAAAGTTTAATTGTCGGTATATTAGTTTTAGTGAGATTTATTTCCACTAATAGCAAGTGGGTCCCCTTCGAATTTTCCAGATCAATAGCACTTACACACCACACCATAAAGAGAAAGTAGGGTTATGCTAGTTGTACAATTATAATTGACAATATTAATTTTGTCGAAATTCGGACCATTGATTTTAAAAAAAAATTGAAATGAATGAATGAATGTGATGTTGTCAAGTTTGAATTGCCAATTAATATTGTAAAATTAGATTGTACATGTAGCATGATTCGAGAAAGTAACTCACATGTGGGATGATGTCAGCAGATAAACAATTTAAAAAATTACAAGTATTAAGTAGTGCTAAAATAAGTACCCCATATGGGAATCGGTCTCAATATACACTAACACCTCGTGTTTCACTTGATGTATTCTTTTATTAAAAGATTCTGTTCGGGTAGCTCGATCTTCAAAAGTAAAACATTGAGTCGCTAACTTGTTCAAATATGCAAACCTAAGTTCTTTCGTGATCAAAATTAAATCATTTCTCTCGAGCCTTAAAAAGAGAAAACTTTCTATACGTTTCTAGGGGTATTGTTCATCTACACGTCAATGTAAATGTTAAAATCGATCATGACTTGAAATTTCAGTGCAAAATCGTCAAAACACTTAAAATTCAATACTATTTTGTTCTTGTTCTAAGTCACGTGAAGGTCGCATGCAATTTTAACTTGGTATGTCCAGATACATGCGAACCCATATTCACCATAGATTTGAGATTCAGATACATGCGAACCCATATCCTATAACCAAATCACGTGAAAAGCTACAAAGTACGACCCCAATTTTGCTCATTTTTAACCTTATTAGTATAAACAAAAAAAATGCCATTAGTGTGAAACAAGCAATCACACTGAAAAATTGGATGATGGGATTCCGTGGACGGGTCCCCTCGGGGGGGAAACAAAAGAAGAAGTTAAAGCTGAAAAAAATTGATTTCTTTAAAGGGGAAAGATGCCACTACTTTTGGCATATATCTTAGCTAGTAGTGGATACGCTCTAACAAATCCAAGCACAATTAGTAAAATATTATCCATTTTAGCCAATTTTAGCACTCAATTTGGATGGTCCTCAAGGTAATCAATTTTTAATGTAGGAAAGCCAAATAAAGATAACAACAAACGAGTATGATTGGGGTTAGACAAAATTCTCGAACCGAACTAGATCGAATCGGATCCGAAGCGAACCGAGGGATTCTTCTTAAATTAAATATCTGAATGGGTATTTGAATCGAGAACCGACGGATTCGATTCTTAGTTCTAGACCAAGAATCGAATAAACGAATCTCTCTAATTTTTTAAATTTTTTATTTTAAATAAGTCAAATTATTTTATTCTTTTCTACATGAATTTGTTGACTAATTAATTTAGCTCAAACGTAAAATATGATTTTACTATTTTTAATTTTCAGTCAGTCCAAATTAATCAAATTGACCCAAATTTTACCAAAATCTCTTATTCTACCGTAGTATCGTTTTTGCCGTTCTATTATTGTGAACTAACTATCTTCCTCTTATAATTTTAATAGCCAAATTTATGAAGAACTCAACTAAGAAATGCGCAAAAGATATCACCAAATTGGACTATATTATTTTGTAAGAATTAATGTTGAACATGTTATAGTCGAACTAATACAGCGTTGTTATAAATATAAAAATAATAATTATTGTACGAAAGTTGGGAACCGAACTGAACCGAACTCGAACAGATCCATAATTAAATTTGGACCAAACGATTCCACTTACTAAATACCCAAAAATTTTGGTTCGGTTCGATTCAGTTCGGTTCTCTTCAGAATCTAATTAAACCGGATCATGTCCAGCCCTAAGTATGATAAGATGGATGTGTGGTTATATTAAACACAAGATTAAAAAAATAAGAATACAAGCCAAAGAAAGTGCCGCCAACTGAAGATAAATTAAGGAAGGGGAGATTTGGGTAATTAAGTCATGTTTTGCGTCAACCCAAAGAAGTTACAATTAATACAAAGAACGCGATCTCGGATCGAGTTAAAAGTAGGGAATCATAGACCAATATTAACTCAAATGGTAATAGCTAACAATATAATTGCTTTGAATTTAAGTAGCTCGTGTCATGTTTTCCATCAACTTAGAGGGGACTATCATTGATAAGAACTTGGGGGGCCCATTTGGCAGGTATTATGCATTTTGTAGAAGCACTTTATAAGAAAATCTCATTGGATCAATTTTCTCTAAACGTACTTTTAACTGAACAAAATATTTTCAAAATATTATTTAAACATATTTAAAAACAATTTTTTAATCTCTTCTTAAAAGCCCGACCAAAAAATGGTAGACTAAAATTGACTCTAATCGTAATTGCTCACTAGTTACGAACAAGTTACTTTCAATTTTAGTAGCCCTCGTAGATAGAGGATAGCTAACTTGACTCCATGTAACGACGCATTTCCTCGAAAAGACAAAAGATACATGCTAGCAGGGACGGAGCTAGGATGAAAAAAAAATTTGTGGCGGCAATTTTCACAAAAAAATAATTGTGGGGTACATAAATTGTAAACTGTAAGTATTTTTTTAGAAAATCTTGAGCAAAATTTGAAATTTGAAATCTAGCGTGAGTGCAGCTGACCCCACACTAAATCCGTCCCTGCGTGCTAGCGTTGGAAAATGCACTCAAAAAAGTACGTCCATCATTGGTATTCTTTCTGATCTCTACATGTTTCACCAGTCCACTGAGAATCCCCTTTATCGAAATATTTCCAGCCATGTCGGTAAAGGAACCTAATATGGCCAACATACATCTCAGCCGAGTTATGAAGCATCTTTGCTTCTCCAAGTGCAGACTCTTTGGGCAAACACGACCAACTACAAAGGACTAAACAGAATTCCTACATTTCAAATGACGCTTTGGAAGAAACTTGTACGGTTTTGGAATGGTTTTGATCGATCATTTTAACCCATAAAGCTGAAAGCAAGTAAACAAATTTATACACTAGATACAACATATTGGAACAGCTACACTTTTCACAGGAAACGATGTCATGATCGAGCATTATTGAAGATACAAGAACTACACTTATGGCACTTGACCCAGTCGAAAGACAACAATATTCACCTTAAGCAATGAAAGCCCAGTTCTGTCCCAGATAGACAAACATGCCATTGAGTAATGAATGATCGTTCATGCGTGCACACACATACGGAGAGAAATTAACGAGACGAACAAAGTAAAATAAGATTTCAATTATCCAATACAATCAATAATATCAATATCATCACAAATTATTCACATGTTGTTTGCATAGACCATAAAAGTAACCTTGGTCCGTTTCTTTGGGCTAGTAAACAAAAGAAAAGCAAGTCATCCATTGATGCAACATTAAGTGTATTGATGACTACTTGAAGCATCCATGAATTTTAACATTTACCGGAAAACTTCAGAAGGCAGAGCAAAAGATCTTTGCTAGTAATGGCATCTCAGTATTCTCATTTTTCGTCCACCACCAAATGGTAGAAGTTCCCTATCACATCAGAGGGCAGTTGATGAAAGAAATGAACGGATTCGCTGCAGCAGTTCTGCTTTTACCGTATCAGGAACAGAAGCTGCATAAACAAAGAGATGCTTATTTAATTACGATGTAAGTTCTAAGCAAAGCTTTATAAAGATTATCAGCAAGGAAAGAAGACAACAACCAAGCAGTGGAGTCCAAGAGCTCAGGTCATCACAGGGAAGAATAATTGAAATTGTTCTTACACTTTTTTTGTATACTAACTAATCATCATCGACATTATAATTTAGATTACGGAGCTGGACTGCTAGAGTAATTACCTACTGATTATGCAACAACCTTATGAAAGACAACTTAGAAGTTTACACAATTTTTCATCAAGAACTCAAAATTTTCAGATTCCTCAATTTCCCAAAATTAGAGTAACAATAATAGTTAAAAGTGCATGTATACATGGCATATCCTTATGCAAGATTTACATAGAAGCATAATCATGTAATGGTAGCAGCCAAACGTCTGACATGTCACGAAATGACGGGTTAAGAATCAAATTTATGTACTAGGGTGATATAGAAACAATGAGAGTGAATGTAGCATGAGATTATGTCTGGTACAAAGAAAAATATTCTACATTTTAGCTAGAACATGAACTATAATTATGCGAGGCAACTCTTTCAGATTCTTCATCCAAGTTTTATTTACATGCGCACATCCTTAGTAGGTTGCAACTCAATATGTGCAATGAAAGCCTCTGTGGCTAACGCAAAATAAGTATTTCTTTCGACAGTTACCACTTCTCAACTCTCTCATAGTGAGTATGATTTCCAGTATACACTAAGAAAAATATTTCTCAAATTAAAGAGAAACAATTATTGGGAATCAATTAACAAAATTAACAAAAACATTTTACAAAAATGTTATGCCCATTCACTATCGAAACTTTTAAATGATAAGTGGCAAAACATGCAAGTTCTATCATTTAAGCACCATATGTTATGGTTATAAAAGCATTCATCTTCAGCCACAAGCATAAATCTTTTATTCTATATAACATAGTGGTAGAGTTGATTATTGGCACGTGCATAAGGTGGTTGTTCTCAGACCCTAAAAACACAGCCATATGTAAGCAATCATTTGACACTCACTTTGCAAAAATTGACAATGTAAATATGTAATTAATCAAATTTTATTTTTACTCATTCTTGTAAAATATACAAGAGCATGTCAATTAATACAGATTATAAAAGGATGAAATACTAGTTATAAGCAACCTGTCCCAACATTGAGAACCGTCAAAAAAGAACAGAGGTTGCAACAATACAAGTACTGTTATAATTATGAAATCTAAATAAAATCAAGAAATTTAAACAATAGATCAATAAGTGTATGATGAATGCATAACTAAGTGAACGAACCTACCTCTTCCCTTCGGGGTAATTACATGAACAAGGTCATCCACAGTTACATTATTTCTTCCCTTCTTCCTTGCATGTGCCCTTGTAAAAAATTGCACGTGAACAAGGCATTATGAGCTTGGAGAAAGTCAAGCAAATCTTATGAGGACTATACCCCATAAAAATGGAGAGAAAGACGCATTGTGCATGCTGACCATATAAGATTCATCATAACTCGTTACTCCATCCAAACATTAACTTCTCTTTGATTTGTAAAAAACTCCAATTATTATTTTTTATCTTAATACTAATCACAAGCATGCATACTCAAATTAAAAGAATGATATATTATGCATATGAAGAATCGAAATCTCCACTAAATATAAATTGGTATTCACTATATATTGGCTTCATTAATTTTGAGTCAATTATTCACAAATTCAACAAGCTTTCATCAAAATTCCCATCATGGATGAGTTTAATAGGATCAATTCAAAAAAAGTTCTGTAAAATTTTTTAATTGATTTCAATAATTTGAAGAACTCAAACATAAACATTCCCTCCAATAAACCAGTTCTTCAAATTAAACCAACAATATTATCAAACTCTGACAGCAGAAAAATTAAACAAAAACCTGCAAAGAGCTTTCATTTCATCTCTCCAACCGCATTCGATAAGTCTTTCCCTCAAAAGGTCCTTCAACCGTTCTTTTTCTCCACTCTCAATCAGCTACATAAGCAACCATATCAATTAATCAATTCATATTACTAATGCTCCAAGAACTGGTACTTCTCTAAATTAAAAGCAACAATAACTAACAAAAAAATAAAAATGATTAAACAAATCCATAATAACTAAACCTAACTAAAAATATACCTTGATATTGATGATTTCCTGAATTGTAGGTTCGCGATCGCGTTCATCTTCTGCATCTGGAGTTGGTGGACGTTTAATTGAAGCCCTCCTTTTTCGAAGCCCAAAAAGAGATAAAGTTTATTAGATAAAACAGAAATTAACTTCGAATTATAATCCTGAAGTAATATATTGGATAACTGCTTCAAGATTATGATAAGAAACTCACATTATATTAATAATTTCAGAGCAGCTAAATATTGAAGCTTTGGAAATAATCGATTTTTCGCAGTACTACCTGTATTTATATATATTTTTTATACGAGCCTAGCCCCAAGAATTAGACGGTCTTTTTTTTTTTTTTTGCGTCTCTTCTATTAGTCACTGCAATTTTAAATGTCAAGTTTTGACTATTAAACTTTTCAGAATGTTGAACGTCACTAAAATGACTTACATTCTCTAAAAAGTCAGTTTTTACAAAATTTATTCTAAAAAATTGAGGTCCTAATCGAGTTTAATATCATTTCGTATAGTATTTCTTAATGTCAAAATGAATTTTACCTTAAAAAAATCCACCAAAAGAGCTTGGCCTTCATAAAATTTTCGAGCCAAATATACATAAATTCATTACTTGTTTATAGATGGTGCACAAAATAATCATACGGTGAACTTAATTGCTGATAAAAATTAAATTTGTGTCTAGTCATTCTTGACACATGTAATTGTCGAATTAGACGCGCAATTGTCATTTGAACATTCACTATAACTTCGTAGTGACAACCGTGTAGGATAGGTGAGAGGTGGTGACACTTCACAAGCAATCTAAAAAGATGACTCTTTCATCCATGGATTCTTAATCACCGTACCTATGATTCGAAGGGAAACAAGATGCTGCGAGATGGGTATTTTGTCTTGGATGAATGCCTCCTAATCAGTAATAAAGGCATGTGAAGGTAACCTCAAGTCCAGATTTTAATCGAGAACGTAATGGTACAAGTTCATCGACTGAAAAACCAACTAATCGAAAGTTAATCATAGTAACCTGAGAGTCCCATGTGGAAGGACTCTCACACAATGTGTCAAAGGTACGCCGGCTCGTGTTTATCAATGTCGAGAATCTTTTTACCTTACATCATATCCACGACATATTTGACATTTTAAATCATTTTAAGAATGTCAAGGTCAAGTCTCCTCGTATATCATATGCCACATAATGTAAAATTGTTGTAATCCGTGCAGTCAAAAAATTTCACGTCAAGACATTAGCTAGAAGTGAAGATAGTCTTGAATACATATGAAATTCAACTAGTCCATACTCCATAAGGAAAACTTTTGGATGAAATCTTGTCTCAATGAAGCCCTTCAATCCACTTCGATAATAGCAAGTTGGGAATGCAAATAATTAAGGATAAATTAATAGTTCTCTTTCATTTATTACATAACAATGTAAATAAAGGAGAAAAAAAATGACAAAGCTAAACAAAAATGGTAACAGCTAAAACATTTTAACTCATATTTGAGTAACCTATGGCATATTTGATCTGTTGAATTGAACGACGCTTATAAGAGTTATAAACGAGAAAGAAATTAAATTATAATCTATTGTCCTGTGTGTGCAATGCTGACCAATACTATGTGCTAAACATGCTCGATGTTTTAGGTCAGACAACATTAACATAGAAGGCTATAGGAAGGCATGTCCTCGATTCGCAATACATCTTCCATCAGAAGTTCTTTCTCCAGCTGAGATCTTGCTGATTTCAAAATCTCCTGAGGAACATAAATTTGGGAGAAAAGAAAAGAAACATAGAAGTGAAAAATCAGATCAAAATTAGAATGTGAATTACAACTATCAATTGAAGGACCTACACTGTCCTAAATAGACAAAATTGGTAAAAATGGCAAAGATTCGCGTCTACAATGTACAGTCTCAACGAGCAGGCTTAACTTCGTGAATATTAGGAAGGAAAAGAAACTTGCATTAGGATATTGATATTAAATAAATAAAAGTGGAACGACAGCACCAAAAATGGACGAAACGTGATTAAATTTGACCAAGAATAAATCTGTCGCCTTCTTCAATTTCTTTTCTGCGTGTGTCCGTTCTTTCTTCAATTTCAAATCTGTTCGTCTGTCTTTTTTCCTCTGCTGCGGCACCGATTTCTGTGCGTATTAATTCAGCCCCAAAACCTTCGTTTCTTCTCTCCTATGGCGGCGACAAGTCCTTTGTATAATATATAATTTGAGCCCCAGGATCTCCACACCTCTTTCTGTCTGCTGTGTAAATATATATAGTGCACCCAATTTCCTTACACAGTAGCCGCCCATTAATTCCCAAATAAATCAGAATTCAAAGTGCACTTGAAGTCTTGGCCCAATCCACAATTAACACATCAACTGCAATTCTCGCATAATTAGAACTCCCAAGTTTAATTGAAGTGTTAATCCAATTAAACAAGTCCAGCCCAATTCCAATGCATTATTTCATTCAAGGCTCCAATTCTTTAGAATTAATACACTTGAGTCCTTCAATTTCTATAGCGTCGATTTAATTTCTAAAATTGTAGATTTCCTTCAATTTCAGCATTTTTCCTTTCCAATTGCTTCGAACACGTCCAAAACTAAAATAAAAGAAAATTAACACAAGTTAAGTAAAAATTAATAATTTGACGACATGAAACCCAAGTAAAATGACTTAAATAGGTGCATAAAATGCACTCATCAACCACAAAAATACAAACTGAAAAACCCATCACCACCACCACCCCATTTCACCATCACCCACTACCACGACCACCACCGCCACCGCACAATACAAATCAAAAACCAAAAAACCACCACCGCATAGCACAAATCAGGAACCCATTCTTCCAGCAGCGGATGCCCTAGCAGCGAAATCGCTGCCGGAAAACCAGCAGCGATTTCGCTGCTGGTTTCCCAGCTGCTCTAGGCAGCGAAATCGCTGCTTTTCCTGCAGCGATTTCGCTGCCAACAACTAGGGTAGGGTAGGGTAGGGGAGGGGAGGGGAGGGTGCGGCGGCCGAGAGGGAGGGGGCGGCAGTAACTTTTGAGCAGCGATTTCTTCTCGTGATTCAGGGATTTCCAATTGGAGAGAGAGAGGGGAGACGTAGAGAGAAAACGAGCTTTGGGGGAAATGAGAGACGTGGGCTTGATTTCTGAATTAATTGAATTAATAATATATAAAACATCTGATTTTTGAAAAATTAAACTTATCACCTCATTTTCGAATATGAATTTTGAAAAGTAGGGTTTTGGGTAATTTTCTCTTTTTTTTTTTTTTGGGTCTCTTCGATTAGTCACTGCAATTTTAAATGTCAAGTTTTAACCATTAAACTTTTCAAAATGTTGAACGTCACTAGAATGACTTACATTCTCTAAAAAGTCAGTTTTTACAAAATTTATTCTAAAAAATTGAGGCCCTAATCGAGTTTAATATCATTTCGGATAGTATTTGTTAATGTCAAAATGAATTTTACCTTAAAAAAATCCACCAAAAGAGCTTGGCCTTCATAAAATTTTCGAGCCAAATATACATAAATTCATTACTTGTTTATAGATGGTGTACAAAATAATCATACGGTGACCTTAATTGCTGTTAAAAATAAAATTTGTGTCTAGTCATTCATGACACGTGTAATTGTCGAATTAGACGCGCAATTGTCATTTGAACATTCACTATAACTTTGTAGTGACAATCGTGTAGGATAGGTGAGAGGCGGTGACACTTCACAAACAATCTAAAAAGACGACTCTTTCATCCATGGATTCTTAATCACCGTACCTATCATTCGAAGGGGAGCAAGATGCTGCGAGATGGGTATTTTGTCTTGGACGAATGCCTCCTAATCAGTAATAAAGGTATGTGAAGGTAACCTCAAGTCCAGATTTTATTCGAGAACGTAATGGTACAAGTTCATCGACTGAAAAACCAACTAATCGAAAGTCAATCATAGTAACCCGTGAGTCCCATGTGGAAGGACTCTCACACTACGTATCAAAGGTATGCCGGCTCATGTTTATCAATGTCGAGAATCTTTTTACCTTACATCATATTCACGACATATTTGACATTGTAAATCATTTTAAGAATGTCAAGGTCAAGTCTCCTCGTATATCATATGCCACATAATGTAAAATTGTTGTAATCGGTGCAGTCAAAAAATTTCACGTCAGGACATTAGCTAGGAGTGAAGATAGTCTTGAATACATATGAAATTCAACTAGTCCATACTCCATAAGGAAAACTTTTGGATGAAATCTTGTCTCAATGAAGCCCTTCAATCCAATTCGATAATAGCAAGTTGCGAATGCAAATGATTAAGGATAAATTAATAGTATCTTTCATTTATTACATAACAATGTTAATAAAGGAGAATAAAAAAATGACAAAGCTAAACAAAAATGGTAGCAGGTAAAACATTTCAACTCATGTTTGAGTAACTTATGGCATATTTGATATGTTGAATTGAACGACGCTTATAAGAGTTATAAACGAGAAATAAATTAAATTATAGTCTATTGTCCTGTGTGTGCAGTGCTGACCAATACTATGTACGAGTACTAAGCATGCTCGATGTTTTATGTCAGGTAACATTAACAAAGAAGGCTATAGGAAGGCATGTCCTCGATTCGCAATACATCTTCCATCAGAAGTTCTTTCTCCAGCTGAGATCTTGCCGATTTCAAAATCTCCTGAGGAACATAAATTTGGGAGAAAAGAAAAGAAACATATAAGTGAAAAATCAGATCAAAATTAGAATGTGAATTACAACTATCAATTTAAGGACCTACACTGTCCTACATAGACAAAATTGGTAAAAATGGCAAAGATTCGCGTCTACAATGTACAGTCTCAACGAGCAGGCTTAACTTCGTGAAGATTAGGAAGGAAAAGAAACTTGCATACATTGAACTCCATGTAAGTAGCATTTTTCTCCAGCCACAATTTGTCCATTATCAGGAAAGCCACACAATATAGCAAGTCAAAGGCCCACTCGTTCTCTGAAAACGCATCAAGACTTCAATTTTTGAAGCATTAAGATAAAAATCGATGTACATACCATGAAAATGAAACTGTTCTTACCCGACAACATCTTTAGAAAAACAGCTCTAACAAATTTTCTGGGTTTCACTGCATGTAGTTGATCTCACATTAGCCAGTTGCCTAGAGATTTATGTAATTTTTCAAATTTCACAAATCTGCGATGTATTTTCCCCTTACTGGCATCTAGATCAAGCATTTGCATAATCATGAATGTGATATTTACACCGGCGACAGCAAATGGATATTCCCAAATAGCTCTTTTGCCTGCTTGCTTCTTCAATAGACTTTGAAAGGATGTCTGTGGCATGGAACAAAGAAATTATTTTGACCCAAATTGCTCTCTAAAAAAAATCAAGAAAACAATTTATCACAGGTTAATCCAAAATTGCTCCAGGCCATTGTTTCAATTTTTCCAGCAGGACTGTCTTTACGCATCGTATTGTTTCTAACAGCAATGTGTCAAAAACTGAAGCCGAATGGCAAACTCAGAACCCCTTCCCTCCAAATATAACAGAAAAGGAATAACAAAACAATAAAAGTATCCTATGCAGGTCGTAAGCATATTACTTAGAAAAGTGAAAATGGAATCTTACAGAAAATGTCTTGGCAAAAAACAGTAAATTCTCCAAAGAAATGAACCCAGCTCCTCTGCATATCAAAATTACAATGTTAAGTATGACAAAAGAAACTGAATGAGGGGGAGAATGGATGAAGAGTTTAATACGATATAGACACAGGGAAGAAAAAACAAACCTGAAGTCCGTTGATGGATCTCTTCCTTGCCATCCCATTTGTTTCCATTGATCAGATATCAAACTTTGTAGCTTCTGACCAGGGTATGTAGCAGACCATAGTGCCCTTAAAGCGTCCTGAAATTATACAAGTTTGATTAGACAAAGATAAAAAATCTCAATATTCAGTGAATTTTCAGACACATGGTTAAAAATTACAAAAAGGAATGCTCTGCTATCCTTTTCTTGTGGATTCACGTTGAATCCATCACTTGCAAACCATATACTGGTAATGACTATAAAGCAACAGGTATATTACAGATTTTATCAAATGATGAGAGATTATAATACTGATTTGAGAATGCAATACATGCCTGATGGGCTGGTCTGGAAGCATCAAAGTTTACTTTTGTCCTATTTCTCAACCTTCTCAGTCTCTCTTCCTGACAATTTTAAGAGAGATTTATGTCAAAAAAAATAATCATCATCAAGATTTTAACCAAAGAAAGAAAGAAAATCTTAGACAACGCAACAGATATTCAATTTTCTCAACATTGAAATGTCAAAAGCTGTTAGGTCCATTATGGAAAATTATGTATAAAAAACTTCTTACTCTAACTACTCCTATTTTAAACAAACTGGTTTTTAATGATATAATACGTGTGGTCCTTTAAAGATTACCCATCAAACATTTTCAATGATCCATTTGCCAGCTCTGCAGGGCCCAATGGTTGAAAAAGAATGACAAGCTATGATTAATATTTCCCTTTCTCATAATGAATAGAGATAATTGCCTGTAGGGGTGTCAAATGGATGCAAATTCGTGCATAGCTTCCCTTTCGATTGAAGCAAACAAAAGTGAGGCCTTTTCCCATCCACACTGGTTTACCACAGGTTGCATCATCTGCACTCAAACCAGCGGACTTACACACTCAATGAAGAATGTCAAGTATTTTACCATAAATAACTAGCACCACGATGATAAAACGTTATCCACAATGAGTACAACAAAGTACAACAGAGACAAAATGCGAGAACTGTGTCAGTAGTGGATTGAAGCAGATTAGTGCAGGAAGCAGGTTTCTAGGACTAGGAGATTCCTATGAAATTCACCATTGCCTCCTGTACTTTTAAGATACAGATTTACGTATTTAATGCAGTAAACCTAAAACATTCTGCTCTAGAAGAATTCAACTCTCTCATGTCACTGGACAAACATTCCGCTATCTTCTCCTCCCACGTGAGATATTCCAATTTAATCAAAAAGTCGGGTGCTTGGCAGTATATGTACTTCTATAGATTTCTCATTTCCAATCTATTCCCACAAAATTATGAAGAAATTTATACAGATTTTCGTCAGTGTTTTGGTTATATATTTTTGACCTTTTTCATCATTGGAAATATCAATGGACAACTATGTATGGCTATAAACAATCCAATCAAGTCATAACTTCAAAACATTTCAAGGCCAACATGAACGGAGCATTGACTCGCCTTCCTCTTATTGAAGGCATGCCTGAAGTATTGTAAATCACATGACAGATATAAGAATCGAGCTCAAAAATTAACAATTCGTAATGTTGAATCAATCTCAGTATCAAAACAACTATTGCAAATATATATATATATATAAACGCGCATCACAGGGAAATTATACAAATTTCAAGAGCATATCAGTAACGAGTACCTGAAGAAACAGAATTAGACTGGCTACATTTTGAAAAAGACGATGAAGGACTGAATGCACGAATAGCAACACAGCTCCCCTGAATCCTCTCTGGACTCATTTCAACACTAACAAACGATTATCGATTTCTCTCTTATCCTTTGCCCGAGAGTGTCATACTTTCTTTGTATGCATATAGTATATAGTGTGTGAGAGAGAGAGAGAGCTGGGTACTGTTACGTTGTCGTTTTGTTTGTTCGTGGTTCTTCGCTTTGCATTCTCTGTCTGACTTCTTTTTCAGAGGCAAGATGACGAAAATGACCCTAGACTTTATTCAGTTTTGCTTGTTTGTCCTATATTGATTGGCCTTGGATTAGATTTACTTAATTACTATTAATGCACCTTAATTATTCATAATTAAGGATAAAATAAATAATATATCTATCTTTTGTTCCGATTTTACCTAATCACTTCAATAAAAAGGATGAACCGCATCCTTAGCGGCCCCCACCTGCCCTACCATGAGTCTTGGTGAAGGAGGTAAATCGCAGGTTATGCCTTCAAGGGTACAGGGTGGAAGGTTGCTTGTACACTTGCACTTACCCAAGAGCCAAATTCACATTTAAGGATTCGAACCCTTGACGCGGTAGCCTTAAGCAAAGCTGGAGTTCTTCCACCTTCCCCTTTTACCACTTGGGGATGTGCCATGAGGGCAACCTAATGACTTCAATAAATTTGATGCAGACTTGATTTAGTAATCAAAATAATAATAGTTAATAAAAAAAATAATAACATGTTCATTTACATACGATAGTAGAAAAGGTTCATTCAGAACAATTATTTATTTCGGTTCAAAGTTCCTCCTTTCTTAATTTTAAATAGCCATCTTTGACTATTTATTTTAAGTCCATCATTCAATGATTTTTTCGTTTCGAAATCGAAATATGCTTTGTATCGTTTGTCAAAAGTTCTTTGAAATGCTATAAAGAACATACCATCACGATTGAAAATATAACCCGTGAATAAGTAAAAAGAAAATGACCAAGAATTACATTTATTAAACTCACCACTACGACATCATCATTTATCAATTTTACATATTAGAAAGTGTGTTACAAAGTACGTCGTGAGTATTTCAAAACAGTATGAAAAATCTTTCCTAACGATCGAGAATTGTAATTCAAAATTGACTTGCAAACTAGCTCAATAAAATCAACAGTACCCTAGATCCTCCACCAAATGCATTATCCAATGGACTACAAATGAGGGTACAATGGACATTTTGATGAAGCATAAAAATTGTTAAATTTTTTGTCCGTGAAGGGAGACTAGTAGTCTACACATGGGAGAATGGTTCCCTGAACCCAACCAAATCATATTATATTATAAACAATGTTTGCTCAATTGCCTGAGCCATTGTCTCTAGGATAAAGCTACGCGTACAGTCCCGTTTACAGTGTTTCAAATTTGCTGACTTGGCACCAAGTTCTTTGGACCAACCCGATTGGAAATCATTTGACCTGGGCCAATATTGAAACTCCCCCCAAACACCCAAAATCAATCCCTAAACCTACCCACGTTCAGCTCTCACTCCCCCCACTCTCCCCCCACCAAATCGCGATCAGCAGCCACATCTTCTCCCACAGCTCCTCACACCCGTCCTTCTCCCACAACGTCGAAGAGTTCCCCCAACTGAGACGAAGGTTTTTGTAAACCTAATCATGTCCATCTCCCCGAATCTCCCCCAACTGAGACGAACCCGAACTCTCCCCCAAATCGCCCCATCTTTACTGTGACGACAAAACCACAGTGAGCCGCCTTTTGCCGGAACCACCGCACCACCACCCTGCAACAGTTCTTTAAAGAAAGAGTCGACCACCAACAGAGGTTCCCCAGTTTAGACACGACCAATTTTCTAATTCATGTTGGGTAAGATAATAGTGATTTCGTTACAACACATAACTTTCTGTACAAATCAGTGGCTCTTTTACTGGGATGATTTTATTGAATTCGTGTTGGGTGAGATAATAGTGATTTTATTGAAATGACAATAGTGATTCTAATTCGTGTTGGGTAAGATAATAGTGATTTTATTGAAACTATATCTTTATGCGTATTGTCCATTGAATTTGTACCTTATTTTTGTTGTTTTTGGGATGATTTTTGGCCCTCGTTTTTTACCAAATTTCAATTGTCTGTTTAGTACATAACATAGACAAAATTTGGATTTTCATGTGATTGTTGGAATTATAGTATTAGTTCGAAAATAACATTTGTGCAACAATAAATCGAATTTATACCCACTATTTAAGGGAATTTGTTCCCAATTTTTGTATAGTTTTGTTTACCTCTTGAAAGATTTATATGTTCCTTCTTTATTAAAGTTAATGATGAATTTAGTCGTAACCTATGTTTCACGTTTGGAAGTACCATTTTGTGCTCCGCGTTGCTTAATGTAAAAAGAATCGACTGTGAGAAAAATCAGTTAAGTGTTTGATAAAATTTTACTTAAATCATTGTTGTACGTTTGAAAATCAACATTTAGCTTTTGTTAAAGAAAAGTAATTTATTATTGTGTATGTATACAATCTTTAAATTGAACGTTGATTATAATCACGATATTTTGTATTGTTGTCAAACTAATTTTATGCAGCCTTATTTTCGGAAATGTCATATGTGAATTGTGTTTACAAAATGAGTAATGATGAGTTTGTGTTA